TTCACCACTCTGCTGCGTCAGTTGCACATGGGTGTCATTCCATGGACGGATTGGCACAGTGGGGAATCTGGTTCCGTGTGTTTTTGTGCGTGTCTATACTGCTTATGGCGTGTGTGTACCGTTTGTGTCTAGTGGGCAAGGTCATCAACTGGTGTAAATCAGTAGGAGTCAGCAGACCTGTGCCAATTTGCAGGAGCTGAGAACCTGGCCCAATGTGTTGAGCGTTGTATGTATAATGTGTATAATGTGTGTCCGTGTATGAGCACGTGAGTGTGTCAGTGAGTGTGTGTGTGTGTGTGTACAGTGTCAGTGAGGCGCACCTGTGTTTAATGTGAATGTGTAATGTGCATATGTGGTGGAAGTGCATGAGTGCTTACGTGTGTGTTTTATACCATACAAGTGTAAAGCGTCGGTGATGTGCATGTGTGAATAGTGTGCGGTGAACTATGCATACGTGTGCAGTGTGCATCTGTGCGTGGTGTGTAGCATGCATGCGTGTCTGTGGTGTGTGCGGTGTGGTGTGGGTGTGCATGAGTGTGCACTGTCCATGGGTAGCACGCGCGTGTGTGTGTGTGTGTGTGTGTAGTGAGCATGTGCGTATAAAAGGGGTATATCTGCCTGTTCTATTTTTACCGACCAGTTGCAGGCTGGCTTGGATTTAATACTCTTGTCTCTTCCCCATCCCCTTGCAGTCTGCAGCCCTCCAGCCTCCAGCCACCACCTCCCCTCTGCCTGGACTGCACTAGGTAAGACGCTACCTTGCCAGGTTAGCCTGGCACATCCACCAGCCCCAGGGATCGGTTCTTTCATTGGCTGCCTTGGGAGCTGGGACCAGGGAGGCAAGATTTTACCTGATTGTACTAGCTTTAGCCAGGCTGATTGTAATGGTAGCCAGTGTGCTGGTGGGCAAGGAGCTGGGGCCTGAACTGTGTCACCTCCTATGAAATTTTAGGTTCCATTTAGACCCCAAGATGGTAGGTACCCTAGAAATGCCTATAGATCAGTTCTCTCTCTCTTCAGCTCTCTCTCTGTCTATCTAATCGGAGACTAGGGCGTTTGGAGCTCCAGACTAGGCACTTCAGGCTAGGCATTTTGTTTCAACAGCATTCTATCCACTCTTGGGGAATCTATGTTGGTGAAAAGCAAACCAGCTTCTGCCCCTCCTGCCAAACCCGGTGCTCGCTGCTTTAGCTCACAGGTGCCATGGGGATCAAGGTGAGGGGTAATGTTCCTCAGCCCCTGAATGACATCGGAGCCTGAGCCCCATGGACTTTCAATGAGACCCCCTCATGTCCAAGTCACTTTTGACAATGGGAATGATGCTTCAGGTGTAAGGCTAGGCTCTGGCTCCAGACTGGCTCTGTTGGAAGGGCTGGTTTGCTAAGGCATTGTGGGTTTTGTAACAAAATGCCACTTTAGCTGCCCCTTTGCTGTCTGGTCCCTAGGAGGCAGGTATTTCCTGCTGCCTACCTACAGGCTGATCCATTGCAGTAACTGGAAAGGCTGCGGTCAAGCTCTGTGAGCAGTAGAGGGGTTGGAGACCTGGTACTAAAACCACCTGTCTCTCTGTTTATCAGTGCTGACTTGGCCAAAGCGTGTCTGCCTGTCCAGCCAGTGCATCACAGAGCAGGTTGGTCCCCACCAGGCACTGGTGGCCTGCCAAGCTCTTCGTTTGAGGTGTCTCTTCCAAGTGCCCCCTACTTGAAGCTGGAATTGCTACGACATGCACCTTTGAAAGGGCTATCGGTCACACTAAGCTCTGTGTGTGTGTGTGTGTGTGTGTGGTGAGAATGTTTGTAGTTGTGTGCTTTGTGTTGTGCTTGTTTGGTGTCTCTGTGTGTGAGTTTCCAGCTGGGTAGGGTTAAGAGTTTTCAGTTTCCTAGACCTTTCCCAGGCTGAATTCTCCTGCAGAAACGGAATTTGAGGAGCTATTTCGTTTCATGATTTCCATAGCAGCATCTGGGATATATCGGGAATCCATTCCAGTGGGCACGGAAATCCAGGCCAGAATTTACCAGGCACCGGTCCTTGTGTCCCCATCAGATAGGTGGAGCGCACCTCTGGAGCGGAACCAAACCTGGATTCCTGAGCCCACCTGAATGTGCCCCTGCAGCGCGTGCTGGCAGGCTCCTGGCTCCGGCTGCATGTTATGGCCTGTGCAACCGCGGGTGCAGTTTGCATGATAAAGAACCTGATTTCCAGCTGCCAAATGTGAGGCTTCGGAGATTCAGAAAAATCTGTCCCTAAAGGTTGATTAACCCAAAGCCCCTGGGTCAGCGCCTTCTGCAGGCTTGGGCTTCTGCCTGAATCCAGTGGGTATGGGGATCTACAGGGCCTGATTCCCCTCTCACTCACTCTGGTGAAAATCCAGAGGAACTGCATTAAAGCCAATGACATTCCACGGATGTCAAACTGGAGTGAGAGGCCCATAGGCTTTCATGATGCGGTAGGACTCTAGTAAGCTGACACCTATCAATCAGCGATGAGCACAGATTTAACTCTTGTACGTTGGTTCAGAGAATGGTAGGGTGAGTGATGTTTTAAAACCCCCAAGAGACTTGTCTGTCTTCTCCAGATCTTGGCTGAGGGCTGGGCAGAAGGGGCTGAGGTCTGGATCTTTCGTTGTATCAAGGGAAAGCTTCTCTTCGGTGTAAAAGTTCTAAACAAAGGTGGACCTAATGCAGCCTTGCACTGAAGTCAGTGGATGTTGTGCTCACTTAAACCAGGGTTAGATCTGACCTAAAGGAGCTCACGTTTTGGATGAACAGGCAAATAATAATAACACGTTTACCAGAGGATGGAAAGATTCCCATGATTACAGCTGTTATATCATTGTGTGGGTGGGGGGTCTAATTCCGGAGAGTCAGGAGATCTGGACTCTATTCCTGGCTTTGCCACTGACCTGCGGTGTGACTTGGGCATGTCACTTCTTTTCTCTTTCCCCTCCCTACCCCCTATTGCCTATTTCGATTGCAAGCTCTTTGGGACAGAGACTGCCTATCCACAGTGCATGGCGAGTGGGGTCCCTAGGTGCTGTTGCAATATTAATAGTGACTCACTATAATGCAGAATTAAATTGATTCACAAACATTCTTTCCCATCTGTTCACAAATCCGCTTCCTTTGCAGTCATCACGTCCCTCCTTGTGCTTGATTTCTGAGTGAAATCCCCCCTAAGCAGAGGAGAATCACCAGGTCCTGTGCAGAGCGATTGGAAAAACAAAGCTGGACACTTCAAAAGGATTTCCTGGATTAGAACAAAAAAACAGAACCATCAAAAATGTTCTCGAAACAAAAATTCCAGAACGTTTTGAATGGGAACCGAAAACGCTCACATCTTCAATCGAAATGAAATGATTTGACACTTCCGAAGACAAAAATTGCTTTGTTTTAAAATATCAATTAAAAACAGGGGGGTTTGTTTCCATCCTCTATATTGGAGAACTGAAAAAGTGTGAGGAAGATCAACATTTTGCTGCAGAAAATATGGGGGTTTTTAAATGAAAAATCTATGGGGAACTTTGATCTGCTCTAGTCCTGGGGCTTAAGTGGTACCTACCTGTGTGCACAGCATTTATGATTGTTATTTTTGGATATTATTTGTATTACCATACTGCCATGGACCAGAACAAAATGACAGTCCCTGCCCCAAAGAGCTTACAATCTAAGTATAAGACAGGAGATAAGAGGTAGATATAGATGGATGGGGGCCTGCAGACAATGAGACAGTGTAGTTCAAAGCATAGGCATTGGTTTCTGCACACCACCAGCCTAACTGTTGTCAAGTTTTTTGTAGGCATCATAGCAAAGGAGAGTTTTGAGGAGGCCATTTTGCTGTTGCTCTGGACGGGGTGAATTTCTCCCTTGGTAATAATCTAGTGAGCGAGGTAGGAATTTAATGGAAGGAGCCCCTTTTTCAGCAGATGTCACAGAATATTTGTGGCAAGACAATTTCGAATTCATAATCAGGACTATTCCTCCCTGGGAACCTGATTCAAAGGGTCCATGGCTTATACGTCCAGCCCAAACAGCTGGCATTTAGAATTGGGAATATGAAAGAGTTGCAATGAAACTACCAGCTGAGAATGAGCTGCAGAAATAGTTCTGAATAACAGATACGCTTGGGGGAAAGGCCGAGCTGTTTATGGATGATCTGCAATCGGGGAAAAAAGGCAGATGAGACATTAGGAACTGTTCAACCAGTTTTACCCAGCCCGCTCCTCTACAGCCCCCCTTCTTTCAGCCCTGCCTTTATCCAAGAGATACTTTGCTAATGGAGCTGGTGCTGCTGTGCCCATGAATAAAAGTCCAATTGCTCTCAGAGACGTGGGGAAATGCACCACCGCCCTCTTTATCAGGTGTCTGCCTGCCAGGCTGCTCAGTTTCTGGTTAGCTTCTGTGTCTTCTTTGCACTCAGACACCTCCACTGGGGTTGGGGCTCTGCAGTCTGGGAAGCAGCTTGAGTAGGGGGGTCTCGAAAGGAGCCAGGAAAAGCACCAGGGTGGGGGTGTCTTTTCTCCTGAGCAGCTCCTGGCAGGGGTGGGGCTGGAAACTTACACCCTCCCTGAACTGTTCGGAAAATGTGATCTTATCCGAGAGCCAGTTGTTTATCCCCACCAGCCCTTTGTTCAGTGGCCTGACGGCACAGCTGATGGCCACTGTCACGATGCTGGTTCTGGCGGCACCCAACGGAGAGTGCCAATTCAGGACAAACTGCTTCAAGCAGGGCAGTTACAGCCCAAGAGCAGACTTTGGTCTCACCCCACTGGCTAACCACAAGTCACACAAGCAATTCCCTTAGACACTCCAGTTTCCCAGTATCCCCACCAGTGCCACTCGTTATGCGGACCAATGGTTATGAAAACCAATACCCCAGTAAAAGAAAAAAGGTTCCCACGAGACCAAAGGACCAAGCCCCAGACCCAGGTCAATAAACAAATCAGATCTTACCCACAAATCACGCTGTTGCCAATCCTTTAGAATCTAAAATCTAAAGGTTTATTCATAACAGGAAAAAGATAGAGATGAGAGCGAGAACTGGTTAAATGGAATCAATGACACACAGTAATGGCAAAGTTCTTGGTTCAGGCTTGTAGCAGGGATGGAATAGGCTGCAGGTTCAAATCAAGTCTCTGGAGAACATCCACAGCTGGTATGGGTCCTTGGTTCAAAGCTTCAGTGTAGCAAAGTTCCCCCAGCGGTATGAAGCAGGATTGAAGCCATCTCCCCCGAGCGGAGCAAGGCTTTTGATGTGGCTGCGCTGGAAGAGACTACACAAAGCCATCATGCAGTCAGGTTGAAAGGCAGGCAAAGGTGCTCTCTCCACGCAGGCAGTGAGGAGGGGTGAAGGGCAGCGGGGAGCAGTGCAGCCCCGCATGGGAAGCACGAGGGTCCTGTTTAGAGCAGGGCTAGTTCTGGTGCTGTTCACAGTGAGGGTCTCGTCCAATGAAAAGTTTGTGGCCTGCTGAGATGCAGGCGAGGGTCTCTCCAGTGGGGTTTGCTGAGCACTGGAGTCCTGGTTGGGTTCCTGGAGTGTAGAACTCGAATACAGACCCTGAGACCGGCTGGGGCATTGGAGGTGGCAGCTCAGCTGGAAACACAGGTGGTGCCCATGAAAACAAGGTGGGCTGTCAGGAGGCACGTAACTTCAGCTTAGGGACCTTTGCATAACTGCCAGTACAATACAATCCCGATCCACAGCCCCCTGCTAGCCCTGGACTCCCCACACACAGCTCTGTACATGCACCTCAGTCCTGATCTGCAGCCCCCTGCTGTCCCAGCCCTGGGGTCCCCCCTGCCCCAGCTCTGCCAGTGCCCCTCAGTCTCTACCCACAGCCCCCTGCTAGCCCTGGGCTTTCCATACACCCAGCTCTGTCCATGTGCCTCAGTCCTGACCTGCAGCCCTCTGCTATCCCAGCCCTGGGCTCCTCACATATATGCCGTAGTCCCAGCCTGCAGCCCCCTTCTATCCCAGTCATGAGCTGCAGCTCAGTCAAAGCACCTCAGCCCTGGCTCTTTGGTAAGCACAGAGTGTGACTTATACCCTGCTGTGTGGGAGTGGGTGGATGCGAGCTCACGTTTGGATTCCTTGCTATTGATCATTTTGCTTTGGGGTGATTCTAGGTGCAGAATCGGACAGCACAATGCCAGAGCCGTAAGTAGTAGCACTGCCCTTTGCCTTTTGCTGAACTCCCCTAAGCTTCCGGCTTCTCAGGAGAGCTGTGGGAGAGACCTGACTCTACTTCGACCAACAGCAGGGTTTGAACGCAAACCATTCAGCACTGAAAGCTCACGCCCTTAGCACTGGAGCTAAAGGACTGGGCGAAGCAGCTCAAAGCAGTTGCCGAATGAGAACAGCCTTCTGTGGATCAGCCACCAGAGGGAGGGAGGCAGATTTCCAGGCTGTACTAACAGGAGAATCTCATGTTTGCTTTGGCTTTTGAGAAAATGTTCCAATTTGGGGGGGAAACTTGTGAAATGTTGAGATCTTTGCTCACAGCGCGGCTCGAGTCTTGGTGCAATGCCATCCCTTTACACTCAGAAATGGTCCCATTTCCAACCCCCAGCATTTTCACACTTTTGCAAGTTTTGAATTTCCACAGGCCATATTCAAAACTTCATCCCAGCGAAGAGCAGGTACTCAAATTGCAAAATGTCCGCACACAAGGAATTTCCATGCTCTTTGGTGCAGTATCTGGATCTGTCAAATTGCTCAGAGCAGTGTCTATCTTCACACTGCCACACACTTCCCAGCCACTAGCCTCCAGGAATCTGAATACTGTACAGAGCCAGATCCAACCCTTGAGTACTGAAACTGCAAGTGCATTGACACAGCCTGGCACTTGTACACACAGCTCAGATAATGGCATGTATTTGTACATGAACTATGTGTGATCTAGTGACTAGAGAAGTGCCTTACTAGAAGTCAGGACTCCTTGGTCTTATCCCACCACTCTGCCCCCGATTTGCGGTGTAATTTAGAGCAAGTTGTTTAACTTCCCCGTGCCTCAGTTTCCCTACATGTAAAATGGCTCTAATGTCACCTACCTTATGTGGGCATCGTGAGGTTTGCTTAATTAATACCTATAATTGCTGTGTGTTCCTTGAATTAAAGTCTTCATACACATGGAGACCTTTACCATCACTTTACAATTCTACTAATAACGCATATTTACTGCCTTAATATCTAAGCGTTGGATCTTCAACTGATGTAAACTGGTGTCGCTCCATCAACTTACACCTACTGAGGATCTGGTCCAAAGAAACACTTGTGGTCTGTGGCACATTTTGCATGCAGTAGCAAAGAGTCCACCTGTAACCTTTAGTTGCATCAGTCCTCCAGATGTTTCATGCATTCTGTCTATTGATCGTTTGTTCTGTTTTTCCCCCTCTTTGTTTCTTCTGTCTGAATGAACAACTGCAGGGAGGTAAGTGTTCCTGGATTTTTTTTTCCCCTTAAGAGATCTAGACATTAACATACATTTTCTGTTATGAATTTGCATTTAAAATGTCTTTTGTTTTGTTCTTTCCCTCTGTAGAGAAAGTCCAAGATCACAGCCTCACGCAAACTCCTGTTGAAGGTGAGTCCCTTTGGGTCTATCCCAGCTGAGATAGCAAATCAAGGTTAAAAGCTTCTTTGCGGAAACATGGTATGACCATTTCCATGACTAGCCACAGTGTTTATGGAAAGAAAAACTCAGCTTTCCACTGGGTACAGGTAAGATCCTGGGTCTCTGAAGAAACCAGCCCTGTTCCCACCTCCATGATCCCTAGAACCTGGAACAATCCCTCAGCCGCTCAGAACTTCATAGTTGGAAATGTAACACCCGCCTGTCCCCCAAGTTATCAGCATGGATTGAACCTGGGATCTTCAGCACTAAAAATGCAGGCATCTATCCCACTTGTGGTGCAGAAGTAATTCCATCAGTAACAGTAGGCTGTTAGCCGCTGGGTGGGAGGGGCATGCTTAGCCAGCGTGTCACATATATAGGCTTGGCAGAATTTGATTTTTATCTTTCTATAATTTTGATGGATAATATCAATGTTTATTTTGTAAGCATTTTTTTGTTCTGTTTTGATCAATTTAAATGTTCACAGTGGGGGACAATTGGAGGGGTGTCAGACAATAGGGAGGGGCTCTGTCAGTAATCATAGAATCATAGAATATTAGGGTTGGAAGGGACCTCAGGAGGTCATCTAGTCCAACCCCCTGCTCAAAGCAGGACCAATCCCCAACTAAATCACCCCAGCCAGGGCTTTGTCAAGCCTGACCTTACAAACCTCTGATTTAAGGACAGTAGACACTTGAGATTCAAAAAGGTCAAGTTTTCTAACTGTTGTTAAAACACAAATTTGTCAACGTCGCATCAAAATATACAAAGTAAATCACCTAAAATCACGCTCCAATAAGCTCTCAGGCAGCCTCTGTCTGACTTTGCCTAGCTGTAAAACTTGGATGATTATCGCTGGAAATATTTTTCGCCGGTCTGTGAGTGTGCGGTGAAATCGACGTTTACCGATAAAAATCGAATCCTTCCAAGCCTAAACATATGCAGGGACACACACTGATTTTCCTGGGGCAAGGTGCATTAAATGTTCAATTGGGTGGCAGGTGCTGCTGCCTACATCCTTTGTTAATAATAATAATAATAATTAATACCAATAAGTTGTTTAGTGCCAACAGTGCACTGGGCACCGCACAGACAGGACATGGTTCTGGGGAAACGTTTTTGCTTACGGGGGAAAACACATGCTTGCAGAGAGCCAGGTGATGCCAATGTCAGTCAGGAGTCGTAGCCCCAAGGAAAGCAAGGAAGTCTCTGAATCAGACACAGATTCTGCAGCCTCTCACCCTCCTTCCTGCAGCTCCCCCCGTGCCCGGTTTATCACACACCAGGGGGAAATGCTTTTAGTTGCACCAGTGCCTGCACCTCACCCCACTGGATTGAGGAATCATAGAATCATAGAATCATAGAATATAAGGGTTGGAAGGGACCCCAGAAGGTCATCTAGTCCAACCCCCTGCTCAAAGCAGGACCAATTCCCAGTTAAATCATCCCAGCCAGGGCTTTGTCAAGCCTGACCTTAAAAACCTCTAAGGAAGGAGATTCTACCACCTCCCTAGGTAACGCACAAGGCCCTGAAGACCCTTCCATATGGGTTTGAGGAACAAGCAGTTTCTCTGTCCTTCACCACAAAGGCACTGAGCTCAACATCTCCATGCTCTTTGGTAGCTCCCTGCCTTATGCCCCTGGCCTGAGGTGATAGCTGGGGGTGGGGTGGGGGGGCTCACGGCACAGTGCATCTACTCAGGCTGTTGTTGTCTGCTGTGTGCTCCAGAGTTTGATGCTAGCCAAAGCCAAGGAAGCATGGGAACAAGATCAAGTGGACAAGCAAGCGGAGAAGGAGAGATACCTGGCTGAGCGGATCACACAACTGCGGACCAGCGGGCTGTCCTTCAGCCAGCTGCAGGTAGGCTTGAGTGGGAGTCAGGAGGGCCACCGGGGACCTGCGCAGGGGTCTGACAACAGCTCAGGTCTCCACCCTGTTTGTTATGGCTGAGGCAGGGCCCCTCCTGTCACTCATGAATGGGTCCCTCTGGGCAGGGTCCAGAGGCTCTGGAAGGTGAATCTGCCCAGCATGTACTGTGATAGAGGGGGAAGGTGGTTTCCCAGGGAACTCAGTCAGGGACATGCTGGCCGCTGGGATTTCAGGGCTGGTGACTGATGGAGACTCAACACCACCTCTAGGAGGCACCACGAACATGCTGCCTGCTAAAAGCCTAGCTCTTAACACAGTACCTGCTGTGACAAGTCAGGGCCACGGTTGGGAGGCTCAGCAGATGGAGCAGTGAAGAGAGCTCCCAGCTTGGCCTTTGTGACCTCTCCTTGCAGGATCTGTGCAGGGAGCTGCACGAGAAGGTAGAAATCGTGGATGAGGAGCGGTACGACATCGAAGCAAAATGCATCCACAACACCAGAGAGGTAGGAGGGTGCCTTGTGCACTGGCTTGCACTTTATTTCTTAATTAACTGGTTATTTGTTTTGATACCTGCTATGCACCTCACCTAGGTTATTAGCGTTATTTGCATTACAGTCGCACCTAGAGGTCCCCAAACCAAGTAGGGTTGCCAGGTGTCTGGTTTTTTACTAGAATGCCCGGTCAAAAAGGGACCCTGGTGGCTCTGGTCAGCACCACTGAGCCATTAAAAGTCCAGTCAGCGGTGCAGCGGGGCTAAGGCAGGCTCCCTGCCTGCCTTGGCTCTGCGCGGCTCCCGGAAGCAGCAGCATGTCCCCACTCCGGCTCCTACGCGTAGGGGCAGCCAGGGGGCTCCACACACTGCCCCCACCCCAAGTGCTGACTCTGCAGCTCCCACTGGCTGGGAACCCCGCCCCAGCCTGGTGAAAATGAGCGAGTGACTGAGGGTGGGGAGAGCGAGCGACAGAGGGAGGAGTATGTGTGGAGTGAGCGGGGGTGGGCCCCAGAGAAGGGGTGGGGATGGACAGGGCTTCTGATGAGGGGCGGGGCAGGGGGTGGGGCAAAGGTGTTTGGTTTTGTGCAAGTAGAAAGTTGGCAACCCTAAAACCAATACCAGGGACCCATGGTGCCAGGTGCTGCCCAGATACAGTAAGAGAATCCCTGCCCCGAAGAGCTCACAGCCTAAATGGACAAGGTGGACACAGGGCAGGATGGGAAACTGTGGCACAAAGAGGGGAAGCATCAGGTGTGTAGAGCTAGGAACAGATCTCAGGCCTCCATGGCCCCATCCCCAAGATCATGCCACCTCCTACTGCCGTCTGATCATTGAAAAATTCACACCTGGGTAGTTTAGTGGGAAAGAAGCCACCTGCAAGGCTCCCCCAGCCCATTCAAACAAAAGCCCTTCAGCCAGATTACCAGCAGTAGTCACTGGCTCTGGATGGCGCCACTCTGGGGCCATCCAGCCAGAGGCGCCCCGGACTTGGGTTTCAGAGGCACGGCATCCTCTCTGCTCTCCTTCACCAGCTGCTCAGCACTTCGTGGGGATGCCGTGGTGGCTGGAAGCCAACATGTGCAGCATCCCAGCTGGTGCCCATCTGTCAGGAGCTCCGATGGCCAGCCGCTCGCTGGTGCACGGCACTGTTCCTGAAGCTGGGGCCACTGTGGAGCCTGCGACTGGAGTCTGCATGGGACTCTGACCCGTTATCGCTGCGAGTGATGTCTGGAGCTGGGAGAAGGGACAAGGCTTGGGCTTGGGGTTAATGTTTCATTTGGGGTTGGGGTTGGGGCTGGGGCTGGGTGCCATGGGGGAGAATCACCCCCGGTGTGGTCCCGGTCAGGATGGGCTGCCTGTGAGGATCCGGGCACCCCCAGCGGATGGGGGAGCTGACTACCTTGGTGCCAGGAGCAGGCAGAGGTGCTCCCTGCAGGCTGGTTTGAAGCAGGGTCGGGGGCCTCCCCCCGGTGCAATGCAGCTGCGCCGTACTCCCCGCCACCTGGCGATTCCTCCTTTTTTCCCTCGTCCCACAGATCAAAAACCTGAAGCTGAAAGTGCTCGACCTGCGGGGGAAGTTCAAGCGGCCCCCACTGCGCCGTGTCCGCGTCTCCGCGGACGCCATGCTGCGGGCCCTGCTCGGCTCCAAGCACAAAGTCTCCATGGACCTGAGAGCCAACCTGAAATCTGTCAAGAAGGAGGACACGGAGAAGGTGGGTGGGGAAATTCACCCCTGTGCAAAGGGTCCACACGAGGCTGATGTGGGACTTGACCTGGGGCGTACGCCTTGTGTTGGGCCCTTTGGACAGGGGGGTGCATTTAGTTCAAGGGCCCAGTTCTGCTCACAGGTATGCTGGTGTAACTCTGAGTATCTCCATGGAGTTCACTTCCCACAGATGCTCTCTTGCTTTGAACGAGGCCTCCTGGGATTTTAGGGTCTGGATTACTGGGGTAGCTCCAGGGACCTCCATGTGGGTACTCCTGATTTACATGGGGGTAAATGGACAGAGAGCCAGGCCTGAGGTTTGTATATTGGATCAGACTCCAAGTCCAGCACCCTCCCTATGGCAGGGGCCAATGCAGGATGTACCAGAGACAGGAAACCAGCCCACGCTGCACCTGGCCAATTGCGCAGGGAGGATATATTCCCCTCCTGACTCCTGTGGTGATCGGCTTATGCCCTGAGACAGGAGGTTTGGTGATCCTTGATCCTTGTCTGTCTCATTATTATTGCTCATAAGATCAGCCAGTCCTTTTAACTCCAGCCGCAGGCGAGGTCCTGCATTGCCACCTGTTCTGTGGGGGAAGGAATATACGGGCAGGGTCTGATGGACACTGTGGGTCTGGTGCAGCAGAGGGCAGGGCTGCTCACACCAGGTGCCGCATGCCCTCCCCTCCCACTCAAGGGGCTCTGTACATAGCAGGGTCGGGGCCCTTTCTCACTGCTTTCTCAGCTGTCTCCATTCTATACTGACTCTAGGGGGCATCCTGGGGTTTTAAAACCATAGACAGCCGACCCCAACCCGCTGGGGCTCTAATCCAGCTTCACACAGAGCAGCTCTAGGGACACAATGGTCCCTAATTGACTCACAGGGAAAAGGGATCTCCTGACATATCACATTTCTCTCCCCCCACCACCCCCGGTGCTGCCTTTGTCCCAGCAGTCAAGGACCCCAAACTTACAGGCTATTTAGTGTAGGGGTATTGGAGACACATGTCCGCGTCTGTCTGTCTGTATAATAACACGGCAGGTCATCCCGCAGCTCCACAGGGCGAGTGCAATGGGATCTAGGGAGATGCCCTGGGCGAGGTTGCACCTGGGGTCACTGCTGGAACGGTTGTTCTGGGTGTGGGGGAATGTGGCACATTGGAAGGCCCATGGGATTTAAGTACACTCAGGCACGGAGCAGCTTCTGAGTCAGCCAGGACGGAAATAAAGGACAAAATAAACCTTCCGTCATATGGAGTCATACATGCATGAACCCATGCTTCCCTTTCCTGCATCCACCCATGAAAACACCCCCTCCCGTACACTCATGCACCCCCCCCACATTCATACATGGCACATGTACACACGAACCTACCCAGACAAACCCCTGCATGTACACACACATGCTCATGCAGATGCACACACGTGAGCCAGCGCACTCAGGTATACGCACGGACACACCCACACATGGAGAGTCTGTCTCACCGAGCGCTGCTCAGATGCGCCGTCCCGAGAATCCCTGGGCTCTGTGCTGCCGGGACCCCTGACCCCTGCGTCTCCCTGCAGGAGCGCCCTGTGGAAGTGGGTGACTGGCGCAAGAACGTGGAGGCCATGTCGGGCATGGAGGGCAGGAAGAAGATGTTTGATGCTGCCAAATCTCCGACAGGCCAGTGAAAGGTACGGAATCATAGAATCATAGAATATCAGGGTTGGAAGGGACCCCTGAAGGTCATCTAGTCCAACCCCCTGCTCGAAGCAGGACCAATTCCCAGTTAAATCATCCCAGCCAGGGCTTTGTCCTTAGCTCTGCCACTCCTCCCTTTGCCCCGACAGCCCCTTCCCCCAGTCCCTGATGCCCCTTTCCATGAAGCAGGAGGCAGTCAGCGTCTGTGAATAACCTTCGCAGTCCAAGTGTCTGTATCACACGCCGGCCTGGGGCCCGTTCCCTCTGGACTGGTCAATGACCCAGTGCTGCCAGCTGGCACATTACAGCGTGCTGGGTTTGCCTATGCTGCAGGAGGATCTGAATTATGGCAGCTTGTGCCCTCTGAGCTCAGTGCCAGACGCCTGCCTTCTCTCTCGACGCATCTTGGGGGCTGGGCTCCAGGTACGACAGCACCTCCTGCCCGGGCTGCCCGGCGCCGCGCTCTGCCTCGACTCGCTCTTTGGCGGGGCCCGGGCCTGCGGACACCGTGCCCTGAGATGGGATATCAGGGGAGCTGCTCTCTTTGTTGCCTTTGTCTTGTGGCGACTTGCTGGGATTTCTCTGCAGACGTGTCGTGCCCTAAGGCAGCCCCCGCACTGGGCTGCTGGCTCGGCTGCGCCGTGGCACCCGCCCCACCAGGCGCAGACTCCAGCCCGTCCCTTCGCGCTGTCTGAAGCTGCTGCTCCGATTCCTAGGTGCTGCCGGGAGGGTCGAAGAGTCACCCCGCTGCCCGCAGCTTCGCCCCTGCCGCCCCTTCACGCTGCCCCGCGTGTGCCTCTTCCTGCCTTCGCTCTCGAGCCAGCGCATTTGCGGAAAGCTCTTTGGGAAGCTCATCCAGCCTCTGTGCTTAAATCAGCCCCCCTCTGTCCCCGGCTTCCATGACAACAGCCATAGCCTCACGTGATGCAGCCAATTAATCGCCCCCGCGTGGCACCCCAGCTGTCTCCTGTAGGTCCCGGCGCAGGGCAGCAACCCGTTGGACGGGCACAGGGGTGCTTCTGCATGAAGACCGATCACCCTTGTGGCCTAAGGTGCTGATCCCATTAGCTGGCAAGGGTGAGAGCCTTGCCAGCCATCCTGCAGGAGTCCCGTGCCCTGCAGAAAGGCAGTGCCCGTGCCACGCACCGATGGCTACATGTAGGTAACCCCATGGGGTCTCAGGCATGCTTGTAACTTCTGGATGCTGCTTGGGACTCTTGGTCTGTCCTTCTCCACCAGCCAGTGCAGACAGCCCAGGGATGAACCCGCTGGTCCTGATCTCACCATCCAGCTCTGATATGCACAGTCCGTGGGAAGTAACTGCTGTGTCTCTGTGTTCATTAAAAGACTGTTTAGGACAGAGCTGCAGAGTTTGCTCTTCACTTTACACTCATTATGTGCATGTATTTTGCAGCTGATGAAAGCAGGGTGCCTAAAGCCCTAGCTAGAGGCAGGGGTAGTGGGGATGTCACTGCACGGGCTCCCTCCAGCTCTGAAAGGCCTCCAACCACTTCACCCCCTGGTTTCCAGAGCACTCCCATCAACCGTGCAGCGCTCCCAGTCCTGGCTCTCCACACTCTAACAAGCTACCATCCTAACCTGCAGCAGCCCCTTCTGTTCCAGCCCTGGGCTCCCACCACAGCTCCCTCCTGCCCCCCAGCAGCTGTGCAATTCCAGCCCGGGGTGCCCCCACGGCTCTGCTAGTGCAATTCACTCCTGACCTGCACCATCCGTGCGGTCCCCTTGCTGGGCCCCACGCACTCAGATCTCGGCAGCCCCCTGCAATTCCAGCCCTGAGCTCCCCCACAGCTCTGAAAATGCCTCATCCGTGAGTCTGCACTCTGAGTGTCTTCTCACACAGCCACGATTGCTGTGCCGTAGCTGTGAAATCAAATCCCTCCCTCCCAGCTCGCTGGAGCTTCTAGGACAATGCACCCACCCGACCCAACCTCAGGTGCATTTCTAGAAACGGTGGACGCTCCCCCCGATTCCCATTGGCCCATCCCTCCTTCAGCGGGATCAGATCACAGGCTGCAGCCTCCCTCACCCCACCCCTCATCACATGTACTGCCCCAGCAACCTGAGGCGTCAGCATGGTGGCGCAATGCAACGTGCTTCCGTGCCAGGCCCATCCACACGGCGCTATGGCCTGGCCCGTCCGCCGCACCGTGGTAACCCCCACAGTTCTGATCTTCGCCACTAGGTGGCCTTGCAGCCACATCTGTGGCCACAGGTCTACCGTGGAACGGGCCACAGCTGGTTGGCCATTGATTTACCTGGCGGCAGGCTCGGGCCTTAGGACCCTTTCACCCAGCTTGATTCACAGGTCCCAGCCCTGCCTCCAGGGCTGAGGCTGCCCAGGGCAGTGGCGGGTGGTCTGGCCCTGCAGGATCCTTCTATCTCCTTCCTCCTGTATTGGCATCACTCCCCACCGCAGTGTTACGAGGGCGACCTGTGAGGAGGGGCACTGCCTGTGTGTCTCTGGGACAAGGATTAGATCAGCCCAAACAGCATGACGCTCCCCACTGAGCGCATTGCAGTGAGTGGGACACCCCCCACCATGGCTGGGGATGGGGGAGTCTCAGGAGGGGCTCTGTCCCACTCAGGGAGGGGGGAAGGACAAGCAGCCGTGGGGAGAGGAGAGAAAGGTTTCACGGCCAGTCTCCAGAGGGGACATCGCAATAAATAGTTACTTCTGCTTTACAGCCGCTGCAAGCCCTTGGGTTTGTAGAGTAGCCAGTCCTGCCGCTCCTGAGGGGGACGTGCACCGGTGACTCCAAACAAGTTCTAGCAGGAGCGCCTGAATTTCTTGATTTCCCCTTTATTTCACCTCCGAGACCTGGTAGCTGGAAAAAACGAAGCTGGAAGTTCGGCCTGCATGTCCCACTGCGTCTGCTCTGACCTGGTGCACACACACACGCAAAGGAGCTAGTTACACCCCTGCCTGTTCAATGTGGATGGGAAAAGATACAGGCAGCTGTAAACCCAGTTTACTACAGAGCAAAGTGCAGGGCCACTCCACTCGGCTGGTGGTGAGGGTGAAATGGGAGCCTGCTGGGAGAAACTGCCTGCTGCCGAGCTGGATGTGTCTGAGGACGGAAGTGCCCATCCTTGGACGAGGAGGAGCTCCCATACGCTGTAATAGCTCCAGCCCAGAGCCTGTTTGGTTTTCAATTACCAGCCAAGCAAACCAAGATTAGATTAAAGTTTTCGTGAGTATTCTGTGTATTACGGCAGCACCTAGCGATCCAGACCAAGATCAGGTTCGGTGCTTCACATAGACATAGTAAGCGACAGCCCCTGTACTCAGCCCATGGGTCAGCTGCAACCCACAAGCCCATCTCACCTGGCCAAATAATCAAAGCCACGTCTCCTCTGTGACTAATTCCCTGCTTGACCTTTCTAGTCTAACCAATGTGGGTGCTGGACGCGTGTGGATCAGGTGGCCCAGCGATTAGAACCCTGGCCTGGAATTGTGAGAACCAGATTTGGTTTCCAGCTCTACCACCGCCTGCCGGTGTGACCTTGGCTAAGTCACTTAGTATTTCAGTGGCCCATCTGTAACAGGAGGATAACAGCTGTTCCTGTGTCCCATGGTTTAGTGCTCAGCTACTGTGGTTATAGGGGCCCTAGCAGTACCTCAGGTAGAAAGGTGACTTCATTTTTTCTTTTTTTCATCCGTCATGGAAATTGTTTTTTTCTCTCCACTTTCCTCATTCTCAAAAGTGGCTGAAGCATTTTTGCTCAGGCCTTCCCAATCTATTCCCTCTTGGGCAGAGACCAAGCCTGGGAACTTTCCGACAGGAAGGTTAATATTTCCGAAAATTCCAAGCAACTTTCAAAATAGGGTCTTTCAAAACATGGGAACTCTTAGGTAATCTCCAGCACTGTTCCTAGCTCTCCAGGGAGGACTCCACCAACACGCAGGAATCATTTGAACTGCCACTGAAATGCAGCAGCTGTTCAACAGCACATTGCCTGGCAGTTTAGGACAGGAAGTGAAGACGATTTCTCTGTATGATTTAACCTCACAGGTGATTTTAGGGAGATGGAATGTAATTACCTGAGATGGAATTTAGTCAGGACACCAGAATTAACACTTGTCTCTTAAAAACCATGCCCCAGACGGTCAGTGCCCCCATTTAATCTGATATGTAAGCCAGCAGCACAGACTTCACGACACGTTTGTTACTGACCCTGAGGGAAGAGCGCCACCCCTTGAACAACCAGTAATACTTCATGCGGCGTTTTGAGGATTTTCACTGCTGGCCAAGCTACCGAGTTCACAGACTGAGCTGGGGATAGCTACACGCTAGTGTAACCCACACACCGCCTGGGTGTGGGGTTCTGTCCCAGCTCGTGGCATTGAGACCACTGAGAGAGAGAGATAAAATGAGTCTGTTCTGCAGCCTGAGCTAACAGGCCGGTGGCTTTTAGCTCATGCTGTAGAGACTCCTGCTCTAAGCTACAGAGGTCTCAGGTTTGATCCCAACGACCCAGGTCTGTCGGTGTTACACGAGCACCTGTCCCTGCCCTAGACCGCTTGTGACAAATCTCAGAAATAATGGGTAGCTATCACAGTCAGGTGACAGATTACGCCTAAGAACATAATAGTCTGAATGGTCAGTAGTATATTTTGGCCCTGAGTCAAAGCAACACCTTATAAATACACAGAGTGAACATAGAGAACTGAATTGTGCTTTACGTGGCAACCGCTATATGGGACTGACGACTACAAACAGCTTCGCAGTTGAGACATTTGGAAACGACACTGGGCAGACAATATGAGCTATTTAACACCAATAACTGACCTGTCCTGATGCTGAAAATCCTCTCTTTTGTGTCCCCAGATGTGCTATTTCTGTAGGACCTACACCAAACCAGTGTTATGTGCTCCCTTTATCAACTCCAGTCCAGTATTTAACTCG